TTTATGTTGATGCTAGAAGACACTATCTTGCACTGACGAGTGGCCATACAGCTCGAAACCGGTCTGCAAGTGTGTTTCAATAATTGAAAATCTATTGCGGCAGTTGTATCGCCAACAGCATATGCAGAAATAACTTCAGTGGATAATTCTGCACTGACACCTGTTGGATATAATTCAATGCCCTTCATGTTATTTGCCAGGGGAGTAGTTGTTTTCTGATAGGTGTCAGTCCATTGTTCCTTCAGATGATTTGATTTATAGCCAGTCTTCAAGTATGCTCACTGACTATATGTGAAAAATTGTATAAACCATTATCCATTATAAATCGATTACATTCGAAAAGTAAATCTCTTCATTTTATAATGACACATTAATGACGGAGAAAATGAGCTCCAACTCGCCCCTTCGTTTTTCAAAATTACCTGCATTCTCTCGATTACAACTCTGCTTCTCAGAAGCAAATATATTCTTATCAAATGAGTAACATTATCATTTTTACCTTGAATAGCGACCGGTGTGTTTTGGTATTTACTTTAGAATATGGGTTTATGTATGAAGTACTGTTCAAACACGTAGATGAGGCATTTAAATTCTATAAAGAAATTTAGTTACAAGTGCGAAATAGTGAAAAGACACATTCTGAGATGGCGACTATGTATGCGACTTTAACAAGAAGAAATACATGCGTTTTCAGCCGAAATGGAGCTCTGTTGAATAGGTAAGGAAACTATCGGAAACGTTTTTTAACTGAAGTGAGTAGGTACGGTTATCAGTCTTTACGAAGATAAAATACTAGTCGAAGAGGATATCGCTGAGTAATCGAACACGGTACTGTTTTTAAACAACATGCGTGGACGGTTAAAAAAATTAAGTAAATGTACAAATTTCGCGCGCTACGTACGTTCGGTAAGCGATTTTTCAATTTTTTCATGTTGTTATAACGGCCTTGAATGTACGTTCATAGTTTTAGCTGTTTAACATGTTTATTTTGTTGATGAGAGGCACAAAAGTTTTGCGTGTTCGGCGATTTCCTGCTATCGAAAAGGCTGGTCAAAGAATTTGCATAAAATTTTGTGTTGAAACGGAATTGAGTGTTCAAAAATACTTGAAATATTGACAGTGGCATACGGTGATTGTACTCTGACTCAGAAAAATGTTCACTATTGGTACAAACTATTCACAGAAGGTCGAGAAGATGTGAATAACGATGCTTGCCCTGGACGCTAAGCACATCTACAACCGGTGGAAATGTTGAGAACGTGGAGAAAATGATTATGGAGAATCGTCAAATCACTATTAGAGAATTTGTTGAGGATGTCGACGTATTGGTTGCCTAATGCCATGCAATTTTTTCTGAAATTTTGGGCATGAAGTGTGTGGTAGAGAAGTTCGTTCCAAAACCGTCGCATGAGCATCGCTCAGGAATTTTTCAATTTCGTCAACAGGGATTCAGATTTTCCTAAAAGGGTCAAAACACGTGACGATTCATGGGTGTACGGTTACGACATCGAAACTAAAAACCAATTGTTATAATTCGTTCAGTATTATCTGAGAGTAAAAGAATTTCAAGAATGCAAACATGTCGCTACATCAAAGAAAGCAACATAGTCGTCTCAAGCAAATAGCACTGCAATTCACCTACAAAATCATTGAGATATGTCTACCCTCTATATTCCTTGAGGACGCCGCTAACGAGCCATTAAAATAGGAATATGCGACAAAGAACGCGAAAACACCGACAAAGAATGCGAAAATACCGCCAAAAAAATCGCTCGATGTTTTTTCTGATATTACGTTTAAGATAATATTAATCGGCGTCGGACTTGGGGTATTAATATAAATTTTCCATTGATATATTCTGTATGATGAGAAGATAATCAAAATATGGTGAAAAGTAATTTTGTTTAAATATTTTAATTTGGGAAGGACAATTCATATTTGAAATAGTTTTTTATTATTTAGAATTGTTACCTTCTACAGATCTATAGAATAGTCAGAATATTAAATTTTAAAATAAATACAAATGTAGAAAGAGCAAAAAGTTACTGCATTTGATAAATTAGCTTTTTGGAAAAAAATCAACTTTGTCATCAACTTGCATTCAAAAAATTTTGCATATTAAAAGAAATATGTATCAGCTGGCGACGTTTTAAAGACTCTATCCATTTTCTTTATCCAACCTATTTAAATCAAGACATTATAATTTGTAGTTATGATTCGTCTTTTGACGTAAATAAATTTGATATTATTATTATCATTGACACTGATAATATCAAATTGATCGTCGGTATGATAATGAAGATAGATAAAGTATTCAAAACGTCACCAGATAAGTATACAAATAGAATAGATTTCCGCGGTTAGAAATTTGAATATCTGATTTAGAGTTGAACCGCGTTCAAAATTTTGCGTTGTTCGACATTTCGGCTTCGACTTTGACATTTTCAGGAAGTAGAAGAGTGTGGCTGCACTGAGAGATACACTTTATATATTCTTGTTGGTTTGGAAATGAAGATTCATATTCCTCATTGGATTTTATAGTTGATTCAGAAAAAAATGTATAGATTAATTGGATATACTTACTTCGAATAAGACATTGCGATAATTTTAATCTGAAAAAAGTCTACAGGGATTCGTTGAGTGATTCTTCACTGACAACTGGAATATTTTTTTCTGATAATGAGTCTATGCGATCATCCAGATCCCACATCTCTGCTTCGATTCTGATTGTTTTGTGGATACAAGTTTTACCGAGCACCCTTCATATAGTTTCCGAAAGTTGAGATTCCCGAAATTATCATGGTGATGTTGACTAACTATTCCTAAAAAAATCCACTTGATTGCTGTAGACATGCGGGCGGTGAAATAAAAAAATACTGTCTGCAAAATAGGTTTTTCTGGAATAACTTGGCAATGCGGCAATGGACATTCGAAAACAAAAATTTCTTAAAGAGCTGAAAAATATGGAATCGAATGACGTATCTATATACTAGGTGTTCCATTTGAAAAAATAAAACTTTGGTTGGCCACGCTCGGCTGAATCACCCATTATACGAGAAAATTATTTTAAAAGATACGATTCATCGATATGACTTCCAATTAAAAATTGAGCATTTTGAAAAATTGTCTTCTCCTATAGTAATGGACCGCGGTAGTCTTGTTGACTCACCCTGTATAGATCACAAAATAAATGCTCTATCGATCAGTATATACCACGACACAGTAGAATTAATATTTATTGAGCTAGAGAGCTACGAAAACACAATATTAGAATGGACAAAACTTTTGAAACAACCAAATAACTTGGGCGAGAAATTCAAATTGATGCATAATGTAAGAAGTAAACTAGTGTTGGTTTGAAGGTGGTTGACAATGTTTCGTGGTGTATGTCATCAGTTCGGACTTCCATTATATAATATAACGTCAACAACATGAGTTCGCACCCGCTCACGGACATAGAGAAATCTTTTTTGAGGAAAGGTCTAAACTTGGCCATTGCACCAACATCTGTGCCCACTTTGGAAATAATAACTGCAGTAGAATCCACCAGTTACCTTATTGATCAGATCGAAGCAGAAGAATTCAGATGGAAAATCAGAGAACAGCTAGATCGAGAACCAATTTCAATTTCTAACATCAACAATGAAAAACGAAGAGCTTCTGAACGGGCTACGTAGAGACAACACCATCAAGATCTTACCTGCATATGAGGAAAACGCTACTGTTGTGATGTTCTAATTACTTCTGTAATTTTGGAACAGGATTTTCTAGTCAGAAAATTATGAATTAGGCTACACTTAGAAAGAGTATTAAAATGTCACTTGAATCGATAAGAGTAATATCTACCTCTTGAAGGAGGTTGAACTGAGAGGGCTAAAAATATTTCCCGAATTTGTCTTCACAAATAAAGTTGGCGGGCATTTCCGAATTCTGATTTGATCTCTTAGAAGAAAGGAAGATATCAAGGGTGGAAAGTTTTCAAATTTTTTTTGTCTTAAAATTTCAATTTCTACTAGTGCATTCCTCTTGCAAAAATGGGGAAATATAAAAGTCTGGGTGACAAGATGCTATTTTGGAATTTCTGAACCTCTAGCAACTTTTTGAAAAATTTCAAGAGGGGCTCGAAAAAATTGCAAAAGTTATAAACAATTCAGTAAGAAAAAGGGGAGTTTGCTTTTTTGCAAATATCTCGGAAAATATTAAAGATTCGAAATTTGAAAAAAGATCCTTAAAAAGAAGGAACATTCTTGAAAAAAAGTCCGGCCTCCCGGAACTCTATCACTAATAATTATAATTTTAATTTAGAGGCAAAAATAGCGGTAAAAGCGGGCGATGCGCGTCCCACACAATGAACATTATTTTAAGCCATTAAATATCATTATTAAAAAAAATTCACATACC